CTACTACTACCACTACCACTACCACTACCACTACCACTACCACTTCCAGTACCACTACCACTACCACTACCACTACCAGTACTACTACTACTACTACTACTACTACTACTACTACTACTACTACTCCTATTGCTATTACTATTACTATTACTACTACTACTACTACTACTACTACTACTACTACTACTACTACTGCGGTGGATGGAGGAAATCTTGCGCCACCTACATACACTGATTCGAACACCCTCCAAGCAACAACCCCGCACCCCCTTTTTAACATTGACGACGGATCTCTTGAGGCGGTGCAAGATTTTTGTCATTGGAACGATGTTCTAAAGCACGTGTTCACTACAATGTTAAGAAGGGGCGCGGAGTGAAGCTCCTTCACGTATCTTACAAGCGGTGCAAGATTTCCTCCATCCACAGTAGTAGTAGTAGTCGTCGTCGTCGTAGTAGCAGCAGTAGCAGTAGCAGTAGCAGTAGCAGTAGCAGTAGCAGTAGTAGCAGTAGTAGTAGTAGTAGTAGTAGTAGTAGTAGTAGGAAAAGAAGCAGTAGTGGCCGTAGTGGTGGTAGTAGTAGTAGCAGCAGCGGCAGTAGCGCCAGGCCTGCACTTCTGAGAGCTCCATATCCTTCAGCAACGCGATTGCATATTGCCACATCCGGCTTCTCTCCATGACACTGATTGTAGCACTGTAGATGACGACGTTCGCCTGCTGTGCATGCTGAAGTAAGTTCCTGTGAGGCTAGAACTGAAAGCGCGCCTCCAGGCGAACGTTTTGCACTTCTGCCAGAAGAGCGAGCGATCTAGACCACTGTACGTCGTTTTCGAGGGCAGTGATCGCTGCGCCGAAAACCTCCAACTATCCAGCCCAGCACACATGCTCGGGTAAAACAGCTACGGCCAATATGGACTCGTTGCCCATGCAGGCCGAGCGACTACAACTGTAGCCTCCAAGCCTGCAGTGTGCCGTTCCCGTGGTTTCCACAAGTGTGAGACCATATGCTTCAGGAGCTGTAGAATGCCGGCATGTTAGCATATGGAGAATGAGCTGGTGCAATCAAGGCACCGTTTCTCCGAAGTTCTGAGAGAAGCTCAAAGCTCCACCTCCATTCTTCACCTTAGCGCTTGGCAGCACTTTCGCGCCGGGCCAGCCGCATGCCCCCCACCCTCTCATCGCCTCTGCCGCACGCACTTGCGGCTGTTCCAAAAGAGATTGCACCTTGGTGACACCACGCAGCTAGCAGCTACCAGCTAGAAAGAACCACAGGCTGCAAGCACAACGAACACTTGCACAAGCATGATTGCACATCCTGCAAGAGACGCGACGCACACGTAAGAACATCGCCCCTCACGTAATTGCAGCTTCGATGCTTGGCGCTCTTCGGGCGCGACACATGTCCTGAGGACGATTCAGCATAAAGTGACGACCTTGAAGCAGAGCTTCAGAAGCCCGTCCTTCAAGACTTTGACCGCATCTTGCCAGCGGTCTCCCTTCTCGCAAGCAGCCATGGCTGCATTGAAAGTGATCCTTGTACTCTGAGAATTAGCCGGCGCATCAGAATGAGTGAAACCGATTGCTGAAGAAGGCAAGTCTCGAATCTGTCTCGATGGACCACCTTCGTAAAGCGCGCACAAGCTCGCGAATCTGAGAGGAGCATAATGGGGAACATGGGCACAACGGCCGGACAGTGATGTCATATCAGCCTCACAGACTAGGTCGAAGTCATGTTCTGATGGATCTGCTGACCCAACCCTTCTCATCCGGTAGCTCCCATCGCTACATCAGACCGACACGACCAGGCGCAAGGACATTCCAGGTCTTATGTGCTATGCGCTACGCAGCATGCTGAGCCGGTTGGATGATAATGCAAGGTTGATGTCGTCTTGACTGCAAATTGCGCTCAGCAATGCAGCTGATATCTTGTTAAAGTCGTGATGAGTCTGTCGCTTGGAAAGCTTTTCGAGCTGAGATGCTGCTGTGCGGATGCCAGGCCTCTCAGCGCTGGCTGCCAGAGATTGGCCTCACAGGCTAGAGACAGAGAAGATGTAAAGCATTGCAAAGCCTAGGGCCTAGCAGTTGGGGGACGAGTCATTCTTGTCCAAGATTCTTTTTCGCAAGCACTGATTGCCGAATTGACAGTGATGACATCCGGCTTTAGTAGATGGTCCCGTAGGCCGCGATGGAGCAAAGCACCCAGACACCAGCGACCGCTCTTCTCGCAAACGCTGATGACCGCATTGATGGGGATAAGATTCAATCGCAAGCCATCTGTTGAGATGGCCCGAAGCAGGTGGAAGGCGCGCTCCCATGATGCATTTTTCCGGCAAGCGCTCAAAGCGCTGGTGCGAGCCTTTATGCAGCATCGCGGACTCACGGTGGCTTCTAGCCACATGCCATGCCTCTAAACGCAGACGTCTTGAGCAGAGTTTTGGAGGCAAGACACTGATCAGATCTGCTCAGACACACAAGTATAGCTCAAAAGGTTCATCGCGGGTTCACCACGCAATGTGCATCAGCAGGGTCAATTTTCAAGAGCTGCGGTGTCTAGTCTGGTGGCCAACCTGCTGCGCAGTACGCCGAGGGCATCCAGCTTTGATAACACCGGCGGGACCTGACAAGCAAATGCAATGACAACTCTGCGGTCATCGTATTTGGACATGATGCCAACTCTTCCATGCCTGCTGGAGGTCCATGAATTCGAAGGCGCTGATCACGGCGGCATAGGCCACTGAATCAGGATTCAACTCGTTGGCGCAAAGCTCCTCACTGGCTTTACATACACATGACTGCGTGGATCTCAGACGACGCAACACCCAGCAAAACGAGTTCAATCGAGGCAAGGATCGAGATAGAGCGTGAGCCTTGGATCGAGGGATCAAGTAAGTCATTCAACAAGCATGCTTCGCACGAATCTTCGACGGAGCTGCCCAGTGCTTTGAGATTCTGACAAGCATAAGGAAATGATATCAAACAAGAAAACACAACGATGCATAGCATCTCCCAGTACTAGTATCTGCATGCCTTTGCAACGACACTTGGCATCCTGCTTTCGCACCAAGACGCACTTGGTCCCACTTGCTGGCACAACTGCATGCAGCCAGCGCTGCATTGTACCTGCAAGCTTGTGTAGTTGGCTGATGTTGGCTGTACATACAACGAGAGCATCGATGTGGCACAGATGGACCGACAGTAGAGCAAAGTGAACTGAGACTTCATCTACATAGTCTGGCCCGCGATCAGGAAAACGCGGTGTACATGCCCGCATGCTGCTGAATCGTCAGAACAACCCAAGTGTCCACATTGTGATCAAGCCGCGTTATGATGTTCGGCTGCAACATTCCCCCTGCCGGGTTTCCAGGGCCACGTCGATCTTAAGACCGCAAGGGATGCAACTGAAACGCCACAAACTTCAGCAAATTGTGCTGCGCACCTTGTGCAAGTCGGAGAAGCTGCACAGCTTCGTTCCACTTCATTGCTCGTTCACCTCACGACTGTGGAATTGTCTCGGCGAAACTCTTGCAGCTTCCCGTCGCAACCACAAGCCAAGAGACACGATTTGACTACTGCATTGAAAGTGATGACGTTTGCACGCACGCAACCTGAGCTCCGGTGCGCCGTGCACAGCTGCAGCCGCGAACATGACTTGCCTAGAATTCTATAATGCTGCATTCAATTGAGCCCCAGTTCGAGCTTGCATGTCTTCGAGGAGGTGTAGAGAACGCTGCCACTGGTCACAAACCTGCAAACGAAATTGCAGTGAAAAGGCAAGACTGAATGCCCAAGCAAATGCCCAGCACCTCGCATGCACTGATGGCCGCCCCAAAAGTAATGGGATTGGCTTCCAGCAACATGTCTTGAATAACATCCAGCAGCCACAGCGCCCTGCATCCCATCACAACGTGTCAGTGCTTGAGTGGCCACTTGGGGAAGCCTTTAGGCTACATAGCAGACATAGCATCTCAAGGTATCAGTACAAACCGGTTTGTTGAAGCAAGAATTGGAAACCGGCAGCTCAGTTTTTCGTCTGCACGGCACGCGGCCTTTGCCATTGCTTGCCCTTTTCGCATGCACTGATGCATGAGCTGCACAAGACGATGTCAAACTCCATGGTAGAGCAGCGACCTTCGATAGTTTCGCTTCTTTGGCATGAGGTTCATGCATCAACCTTCCACCCTTACCACACGACACCGAAATCTAGGCAAACATCGGTTGCGGTCGTTTCCCCACCGATGCCGATAGCATTTGCGGTGAAACCGCTTTAACTTCTGAAGCCTGTGCTGGAGAATCAAATCGATGGGGAAACGGGTGAGCAGTGCAGGGTCGTCGTGGATTGCTGATTGCCAAAGTTGAAGTCGTAGAACTTGTGACACCCTCGACGTTCAGACAGAATACATCGTTGAAGCAGCGAGTGCGCGACGACCCAACAAGCGGCCTTCCTCAATTGTCTGGGCTCACAAAAGTCCATCGCAAAGAAGGGGCATGTTACGGCATGTTGCAGCTGCGTCGCTCGCAAGCACTGATGGCTGTGCTCGTGGGGATACGATGGAGGATGGCGTTGCTTGCCTCATAGGGATGTTTGCCCCACACAGGTTTACAATGGTTTACACAAATCTCGACGACAAGAAATCGGTATATGCCTGCAATCGCAACAGCTGCTGGACAGCCTGCTGCCATGCTGTCATCACAACAACCTGGAAGGGTGTAACAGGGCTCACTTCAACAGCGGCATGTGTATCAAATCCCAGCAGCATCGAGAGAACAGCGGCTCCGGCTTGCTTCTTCCAGCAGTAGGCACGCTTGCGCCCACATGCCGGCCGCATCACAACAGGAAATGCTAGCACCTTGATGTTGCCGAGGCAGCCGAGACAGCAGAGCACCAAGATGGACATGATTCGTCACATTTAGGAATTAACAAAAGCTATACTCAAAGTTGCTGAAAGACTGTGCGTGACCAAACTCCTGGCGTGTGACTCAGATAATGCTTGCCAGCAACATGCAACTCAGGGAAAAGCTGACAAGCACTCCTCTTCTGCTGGGTAAGATGAGAACGCATTTCAAGAGCACGAAGCCAGTGTGTCCCGGTGGCACCTGAAACTGACATGGGGACTCGTCAGACGAGCATGCTGCCTTTGGGACAGCTGGCCAATAAGCGTGTTCACAAAGATCAAGTTGGCTTCGAGATCTTGGTTTGAACAGCCTCGCGGCAATTGCAGCACACATCCACCATACGACATACACACGACATATTTAAAGCATGTGCACGGCGGCCTTGGAAAAAGCTGCAAGCCTGCATGCAAGCAGTGATGCAAGCAGCAGGCATTTCGCATGTCCCCATCGACTCTAAAACAGAGATGGCCTGCCACCACGACCCATGGGATGCGAGTGATGCCAAGGCAGTGCCAGCAAGAATGGTGCTGATGCGAAGTGCCTGTGTTTAGAGAGCATTGGAACTTCAGGCACTCAGAATGTCCCGGGACTGATGCTGCCTGAACCCGTAGCAGGGACAGCAGCACCCAGACCCTCTGCCATGACGAACCCATGGCTGAGGCTAGCAGTCCAGCATGAATGACCTGAAGAACAAGTGATCTATAGCAGGAGCACCTCGAGTTCAAACGGAAGCTGGCCACGCATGCAGCTAGGCTGCATTACATTCCATTCCAGCCCACTGCTGAGAGTCGAAGACATTGACCGCATGTGGCCAGCGATGCAGGAGATATCCACTGGCCTGCATTGCAATGCTGTAAGAAATGGCCTTAGTCGTGCACGAAGCATGTGTGTCCAGCATGCGTGTCGGTAGCAGTTCTCAAAGCAATTGATAATGCTTGATTTCGGCGGCGGACATTTAGCTGCAACCCGCAGGCGACAGTCACAAACCTCAGACGAAGTTCCACAACAATTCAAAGTGCAACCGTCCGAGTGAATTGACTCTGGCGTTGCCCTGGAAGTGCTTGCCAGGATGCGCCTGCTGCGCCAGGCTCCACTGGCTGTTTCGAGTAAGTGCCAGCAACGCCCTGTTGCATGAAGGCAGGTCTTCCTGCCAACGCAACGAGTGCGACGAATACTTGGATGTGACTCATGCTAGCTGGCCTCGGTGCTAATGCCCCTCATCTGGCATAACGTGGACGCCCATTGCTGGTCAGATGCAGTACTACGCATCAGACCTACAAGGAGGAGAAAGCATAACATCCAGCGATAGCTCAATGATGTTTGGTCTCCAGATCCGAACATGTAGTAGGATTACCAGCAGTGCAGCTCAAAGCTGAGTGTCTGAGAGCCTGTGAAAGATCGAGCTCTAAGCTTCTGGGACATTCTCGAGAGCATCGTCGGAACGCAATCCTGCTCTGATCTTTTGCTCCCGCCATGTCAGGTAATAAGGCCAGAGTCCATCGAGAGCTTTTCCAGCATCTTAACAGCCTTACCACGATGACAAGAGGTCCTGCTGATGTGCATGTGCCCTTCCAACTGCGATATTCGTGTGCATCAGAGATGCCTCCGCGGGCCGTGATGCACGAGAAAAGCTGCTCAGCAGCGAACTTTTTAGAAGGACCTAGAGCAAGCAAGCGTTCCCTTTCGTGCATCTACTGGCACATATCTGCCCTGGATGCAGCTGAGCAGCGTTGGCCTCGACAGCGCTCTCGTCAACATCCTGCATCAGCTGCTGCGCACGCTGCCAGTGCGCCGCTCTTGCGCAGCTGCCCAGTGCGCAGCCGCACAACACGCAGTTTACCTGAGCACGCTGGATCAGACCTGCCGCAGGAACACGATAAACCCCCAAGCTCGCCGAGAGTCATCCCGCACCTCCGAGCCCAGGAGGGAAGATGCCAAGTGCCACTGCGTGCCGGATTGGCATGCACTCAAGACCTGACATAGCTGCTTACAGCGGAATATGGCACGGGCACAAAA